TCACACAGCCAGGGCCATATCAAGGCATTTTGGGGGCCAAGGCAAAACAAACCGTAAGTCTCTCCGTCAGTGTTTCCCCTATTGGACAACAACTCCCATACTCACCTCTGCTACTCTTCCCTCTAGACGCTGCTTACCGTTTTCCCTCACCCGCTGGACTTCCAGTGCGCCTTTAGTTAACCGTTTTAATAAAAATGTTTATTTTTTTCATTTCAATCTGACTCTGTCTCCTGATTCTGCTGTCCTGGGTTAGACTCTTGCCTCAGACCATGACAGTTTGGTCTCGGAACGCTCCACTGGAACCTCTGCAGCCCCTAACAGCATTCTGGCTGGCCAATCACAGCTCTCTAGAGGGGTTTCAAACACATAAAGACCTGTGATTGGTCCATTTTGGTAGGCCAATTATAGTGCTCTATCTGCTTAGTGAACAAATCACAGAGCTTTGTCTGCTTTGTGGGCCAATCAGGGCACTTTATATGCCTGGTGGGTGGGATGATGCAACAGAGTGAAACAAGATGGCGACAGCTCGTTTGAAACGGCTTTTACATCAATTTTGGACTATTAGAAAACTTGGGCTTCATTAGAATCAGGAGCAGATAGATGTATTTAAGTGCTTTTTTTTTTTTTTTAGAAAAAATTATGTGTTTTCTCCTTCTTCAACTGTGGACCGCCTCATTTACAGATAGCTGTTGCGGTGAGTATGTCACATTCATTGTCCAGTAGCATGTGGAAATCATTTGAAAGACAACGGTAGAACCCGCCCCACCACCGAGAGCCGTCAATGGAGCATTGCCAGACTAAATAAATGTATTATTTATTATGTATACATTTATTTAGTCTGGCTCGCCACGCTAGGGCTCCCCAGAAGCCTCTGTGTAATTCACACCCTGTCCAGGAGTATTAGTTATACGGTGTTTGTTAAAACCCCTCAGACATTGCTGACATGTTGTAATACTGTCAGATGAAAAACTAAATTATCAGACATGCTGTCTCATCTGCTTCTTTTCTAAACTTGCAAAAAGTAACAAAACCATTTGAAAGCCACTATTTGTGGATTCTCTGAAAGTTTCCATGGAGTGTGTGACAACTTATTTTTTATTTGACCCTATCATCTAATCTCACAGCTGAAACAAGCATCCTTAACAATCTGTGCACATGAAGTTTACTGATGCTGCAGTAAAACAAAAGGTATAATAATTTATTATTAATAAAACCTTGTTGCAGCACTAAAGCAGAAAAATGAGATTTTGCGATAAACATACAAAATATTTACACATGAATTGTTTTAGAGCTCTTTTATTGGCAGAATCTGATATTAATTTTAGTTCTTACAAAGAAATGGGTCCCAAAGTTGTTTGTGTGGCGTTGCCATAGTGTGACGTCATAGGCACAGATCACCTGTCCTCTTTTTTGGAAATGGAAATATGGTCACCCTGTATTAAACAAACTGTCCACCCGGGATTTTGCGCTGCACAGAGACCATAGGCGTCATTTTAACCGGGGACGCCGGGGACATGTCCCCGGCAAAATTTGTGATTGGCAGCTGTGTCCCCCCCACTTTCAAAAAAGCCTGCTGATGAGGATTTTTGTTTTACCAGCTCAGATCTTATCCAGGGGTCGGCAACCTGTTCCCATCAAAGAGCCATTATTACCCGTTTCCCACGGTAAAGAAAACACCGCAGCAGCCGCAGCGTTGCGGGCGGGGCCTACCCTCAGACAGCAGAGCGCTGCTCACAACAGGTGACAGCAGCCGGGGGCATCGCACCCGTGGGGGATTCAACACCCACACTTTTCCAGCTGTTTTGCTCACCTCCACACCAGTCTGGTTTCTTTTATGTCGCACTCTCTCTGTTTGCCTCATCTCCTTCTTCACCTCCCGCTTCTAACAGCCGATGTCGGGTTTCCAGGAGAGCAGGAGCGGGAGGGACGGAAAAGCTCGACTGAATTCATAATTTTACATCTTGACATTAGCTATACAAAGTCTGAGTTTGATAAAGTGAAGAACAACAATTTGCAGAGGTTTATAGGCGCGGCGCCAGGTTTTCATTTTTGGGTGGGCCACAGTAATTCTGGACGGGCCTTAATAAGCAGTGGCTTAGTGAAGCAGGCAGGTCGCGCTAGAAAATTTAGTTTAAAAAGACGTCATAAATGTTTTCCCCGTCATTTTTATTTATAAAATATGAAGTAAAAACTCCCAATTTAATTTTCATTCATTTGTCATTAATATGTAGTCTACACCCGTGCGTTAAGTGGACCATCTTCCAGTAAAAGCAAAGCATCCAGCCCACCTCTCCAAATGCGTAAAATGTGCATCAGCTGCTAGTTAGGCGCACCGCACGCACCATCAGCTACGTCAGCCCAGACAAGAGCAGAGCAAATAGAGAAAGAATAGATAATTCTGTCTGGATGTGGATGGAGATTACAATTTACAGCAGCCTGATCATCATTTAAATACGTAAACCATCACCTGTCTTCTAGTCCACACTATCAGCATTATTTTAATTGGTGTGTGTGTGTGTGTGTGTGGGGGGGGGGGGGGGGGGTTTCCACTTCAAACACTGGTCTAACCAACCAGACCAGCGTGTCCAGTAACACATTAATGTTACAATTAAACTTGATTAACCCCAGAGACACGCGCACTAAGCTGTACTCCATGACTGTAAATGAGGGGGAAACAATTTAATTGGATCCTTTTCTTTTCAACATGGTTTTATGTAAAGTTTCATTCAGTACAAACTTTAGTTACACCAATCTAACGAGACAGAGCCTGGATTTGTAATCCGAACAGTTTAAACATGTTTAAAACGGAGACATGCGTGACGCGTCTAAAATTCGCACCTGCTCCGCTATCATGGAAATTAAACTAACAAGATGAATAACATGAAATTATTTTAGGCACAGACAACATCCCCCACACTTTTGAAAAGCTTGCAATGCGCCTGATCGCTCGTGTACGTCTTAATTATCTTTCATTAGACGATAATCAATAAAACGATTTATATAAAGTGGATCCAGAAGTTGTCGCCCGTCTCTGCCTTCAATTTTTGGTATTTTTCACCCTGTTGGTGGTTTTACTGCAGGTGCCACTTTTGTCGTACGTTTCTTTTTAAAACATGTTTAGACTGTTCAGAATACAAATCCAGGCTCTGTCACGTTTGATTGTTGTAATTAAACTTTGTAGGTGGGGAAGGTCAGAAAGCAGCTCAGAAGCGCCTATGATTACGCACAAGCGTGACGCGTCAACCCGGTCTCACAGTAGACCGGGTTGGACCTGTTCAGGTTTACGCAGACAATCTTTACATTTAGAATTAGCATACAGATGTAAAATTAATGCAGTAAAATATAAAGCATTTTATTTAAATATCCATTCATTATTTTACAAGCACAGAGAGCCGCATCAGATGGATGGAAGAGCCGCATGCGGCTCCAGAGCCGCGGATTGCCGACCCGTGCTAGCCTACTTTATTGTCCCCAGCAATTTTTAAACCCCACTCAAGTGTATGGTTATTGTCCCCAGCAATTCTGAAAACAAACTGACGCCCTTGACAGAGACGCTTCGCTGCCTATGACTTTGAATGTCAGTTGAGAGTCAGTCTCATGCAGACTGACCAATGAAGAGAGGGCCTCAAGTTAAGACCCTCTCGTCATTGGTCAGTCCACACAAGGTGGGTCAAAGGTTACCCTGAGCGGGTTACGTGATGTCAGGCATTCAAGTATTGCGTATTACAGTAAAATATTCTGTATGTGACCATATTGTGGTGATCCTTGGGTCGTGATGATGGGGCCCTTTAATATTGTTGCCCAGGGTACAACAAAGTGTTAATCTGGCCCTGCTCACACCACTGGTGTTTAGTTGATGAATACCTGAGCGTGTAATGAATGGAGGACCCAGGAAAGTGTTTGTTTTCCAAATATGCCATTGCAGTTTTAACATCCTAAAATCAATTTGAAGGGAATTTTTTTATTTTGTTCATACATGGGGACATTTTATGCAAAACTCACCTTTTGTATCATTTTGTACTGCCATCTGGGTCTCTACTGCCTCTAAAAACACCTCAAACCTGAGTAAAAACCTGTCTATCCCTTTAGTTTCAGTGTTTGGTTTTAGGAATTATACATGCCAAAAAGTCCTCATTTGTGATGTCACAAACAGGGACTCTTTGAAATGGCATGTAAATTAGAGTAGAACCTCTCACAAGCAAAAGAGGGCTGCTGCTGGAAGAGCAGTGGCTCTACTCCAAGTCCTTCTCAGACATCTGATCAGATATCTCGGCTTATAGCGGGGGGGGGGGGGGGGGGGAATGGACAGAAACAACTTGTTTTCTTAAAGTGACAGAGCCCTGAAACAAATTATTCCTGAGGATGCAGAGACTGTCAAGATTAAACCTGCTGAGTTTTGTGAAAGAGATTTTGTGAGAATAAAAACTGAATTAACATGTTTGGTTTTGACCATAGAACTATTATATCGTAAGAATAAAAGTCATTTTACTTGGTAAGAACCAAGACAGAGACATTGATGTATGATCCATAGCTGAACACACACCTTCAACCTAAAGGAGATCTTCTCACTCAAGTTTTGTTGGTATGCCACTTTTCTGTCCAGATGTGCACATATCTGTTCTCTTGGGTATGCTAGTTCCTGAGCGCTCACACAGAAATCACTGGGCTGATTGGTTAACATGCTCGACTCAGCTGATACCTACTCTGTGTGACAAAATAAAACTTGTTCCCTCAAAGTTGAACAAAAGAAACATTTTTTTGTAGATTTAAAAACCCACAAATCACGTTTTTGATGAGACACTAGTTTGTTGATGAGATTCAAGTTTAATTTTTCGCAGGGCAGGTTATTTATTTATTAATTACAAAAAACTGGTCAGGTTTCCACATGTTTCTGGACTCCAGCTCAACCTCTGATCCCGTTTTGAGGATGTCCTGTCTTGTATCTCTGAGTATCTGTGTGGTAATGCCGGTGGGAAGTGGGAGGCAACAAACTCCTGGCTGCTTGATGCCTCAGATATTCTGTAGCACCAGAGCTGGAGAGACACGGCTCCTCTGTGGACTCTGACAAACCTGCAGAACAAACCCTCTTGAGAAGGAACCCAGCTGCACAGCAAGGTAGGACATGGGTCAAAACTTCATCTGGAGTAGATCTTCAACACAAGTATGTGTTTAGGTGTGATGTAAAAGGTGCAGGAAGTGGTGAATACATAAGAAATGAACTCAAGTTAAAACAGGTCTTTGAAGGAAACGGACATAAAATGATTTGAATGTATTTTATTCTTAGATTCTTCTGTTCCTCAATTGTTACTGGTCCTATTTTCTGCCTGATGGTTTGGATTATAGAGCTTGGAAAGTCCTTTCCAGCAGATTCAAAGTACAGGTCTGAAACGCCCAATTTAGAGAGTTTCATTTTAAAGGGATGATATGTAAACGCATCACTCAGGTTCTGACCTGATAACTGGTCTAAAGGCTAGATCTAATACACTCAGACTGAATCTGATCTGAGGCCTTTCCTCTGCCTCCTGTTCCAGACGATGAGTGCCCACGAGCATAACCACTCAGACTTCCTGAATGGAACGCCGTGGTTTGTCTACGAGTGCACCATCAAGCTGGATGAGAGCTACAGACGCATCGCCCTCTTCCTGCTCTACCTGTTCATCTTCATGGTGGGCCTACTGGAGAACCTGCTGGTGGTCTGGGTAAACTGGCGCCGGCGTCACTCGGCCAATGGGGTGCTTTTCTGCATCATCAACGTAAGCCTTTCGGACCTGATGGTGATCGTAATCCTGCCTTTCTTCATGATGGAGGTGACCATGGACAGGGTTTGGCTGTGGGGACGCTTTCTCTGCAAGGTGACCAATCTCATCTATGTGGTGAACTTCTACAGCAGCTCCTTTTTCCTGGCCTTCATGACCTTGGAGCGCTATCTGGCCCTGACCAGACCTTCGTGCCCATCCATCTTCCCAGTAATAGGCAGGCGCCGCTGGCTGCTCTGTGGAGGCCTGTGGGCATTCTCCCTGTTTCTGGCCCTAATGGAGAACGTCCATGTGGATCTCCTGGAGTGGGAAGAACCGGGCTGCTACATGATGCCTGATTACAGCTACACTGAGTGGTTTGTTTCTGTGTCCTTCCTCTGCATGATATTCCAGTTTCTTATCCCAGCCGCAGTCATCATCACCTGCAACGTGCTGATCGCCCGAGCTGTTAAAACAGCCCCAGATGTGGAAGGTCAGCGGGACGTGTGGCTGGTCCACATTTACTCCTTGGTGTTTGTCACGTGCTGGCTCCCCTACCATCTGATTATGCTGCTGATGATCATAGACGACATCAACCCCTTCATCTTCAGCTGCAACACTGTGGAAGTCCTCTACTTCTCCTACATCGTGGCTCAGGGCTTTTCCCTTTTACACTGCGTCGCCAACCCTCTGCTTTACAACTTCCTCAGCAAGACCTTTCGGAACAACCTGATCAACGCGGTGATAAGCTCCTTACCCAAAGATGGAAATTTGGATCAGGTGGAAGTGGGACCTAAGCCCAACACTCCTAATGGAGGGAACGGAGGCCAAGGGAAGCAGCGCAAGATAAGTAATGCGAGCACCAGTCAGTCTGATGTGGGTTCTTAAGGAAGAAGCTTGGAACTGCATGATAATTGAGACTTTTTCTGTTATTTTAGTGAAAACTGGACAGAGCTGAATCCAGCCTGAGCGCTTTAAAAGAGCAGAAGTTGTGATCGGGCACAATCTCCTCTCATAATCCATTTCCTGCTTTCCTTTTTTTCCCCCCTGTCAGCATGAATGTGATCAGTTTTAAACAGAGCACAGCAGGAAATGTTTGTTTTTCTGCAGAGCTGCTCTACTCCCACAGGATCTCTGGGAATGACTGTAATCTCCTAACATCGCCTCACCAGGAATGTCTGTAAACAGATCTTCTTAAGCATCAGGACAGCTTTGTGCTTCCATCCCTACAACAACCATGCAAAAAGGAAAGTAGTACGTTTTACTGCAGATTAAATACGGAGTTAGCCGCTGAAGCTTATTTATCTCTCTCCAGTGTAGTAATGCTCTGTTTATTTGGAATAAAACACCTTCAGAATGTTTTTGTGTTCATTTAAGTAGGAAAAGCAGAGTTGACCTTTCAGAATATGAGCAGTGAAAACCAGGGGTGCAGATAGGATTTTCAAACTGGGGGGGACAAAGTTCCAATGTACCCTCCCCCAAACACACACACACACACACACACACACACACACACACACACGCACGCACGCACGCACGCACGCACGCACGCACACACACACACACACACACACACACACACACACACGTACACATACACAAACTATTGCAAGAGCCTTAACTAGAGCTCAGTCAGTTTGTGTAATTTCATCCAATGGTTTACGTAAAAACTAACACTTTATATACGTGTTTGAAGCCATTAAGCAGTGGAACGCTGGTAGCAAATCTCTGCCTGATCAACACTATAAATAATAAATGATCCGCATTTGTATAGCGCCTCTCAGAGTAAGGACTCCAAAGCGCTTTACACTACAGTGTATCATTCATCCATTCACAAACACATTCACACACTGATGGTGATGAGCTACGATGTAGCCACAGCTGCCCTGGGGCGTACTGACAGAGGCGACCCACTATTTAATTCAGTCATTTGTTATTCTTCCAATCATTACTAACCAAAACCTCATGCTTTATGCAAAACATTAAATTATTTTCAGCATACCAATATTTTCAGAAAACATAAAAACCCTAAAAAACTGCACATAAAATACATTTAAAAAACGATATTCACTTATCACTTAGAGCAGTAGTTCCCAAACTTTTCAGCCTGACAAACAGATGTTCCTTTGTATTTTTATGTTATTTAGAAATTTTCATTAAATTTGGAAAGTTTTTATTTATATATAAATATATAAATCTCTTTTTAAATTTTATATTTTACTTTTTTATGATTATGTGACTCACTCAACTTCCATACATAACGCATCGGCATCTGTCCCTTTTCACGGCTTTTTTTTTTTTTACATTGTCGCTACGTCTGTCACGTTAGCGGTGTTTTACCATCATTTCTACATCCATCACATCCCAAAGAAGGTTAAACAAACATCAAACCCAACATTTGGAGCTTGTAAACTCCACACACCTCTCGTGCAGCACCAGATGTCTGATGCTGCAGCAGCGTCAATCGTCCCGGCTGGATGAGTGAATTTCTTCATCAGAGTCAATATTCTGCTTCATAATCAGTCAGTCATGACCAGACAAAGTGATCAGTCAACAAAGACCAGATCTGCCGGCAATTATACGTTTTATCTAATATTAGCGCTCTTCATGTTGCCTCTCGGCGGGAGGCGTTTTTCAAGCTCTAAAAACTCCAAAACTTTGCTCAGCCTGAAGATTCCACATCTCCACTGTCTTATGATGTAAAGTAGTTACTTCATGAGGGATCATATTTGTAGATGAGACTTGTTAAAGTCAGCTTTGACACTTTTAACGAGTCAAGTCCCAACACTGACAACAATGTCCCAACACTGACAACAATGTACTGAAACTGGAACCAACATGCATAAACAGACAGATCGGTCCCGCCTACTTACACTGTTGGTCTTTTTCAAATACGCAGTAATCGTTGCTTGCCTTTTTCGCTTCATCCTGCATCCTAGCAGCAACCATTTTGGCGCCTCTGGAGTCGGTGTTTGTTTACGTCATGCTACATTCAATGTAATTGGAAAAAGGAGCTTCAAGTGCTTAACCTCCGATTTCGTTTTCTTTCTGGCGTTAGTTGGGGGGGACGAATTGGGGTCAATCTGAATCGGGGGGGGGGGGGGGGGGGGCAGATCCACCCCGTCCCCCACCCTATCTGCGCGCCTGGTGAAAACGCTTAGAAAGTTCAGGTTTATTAACAGCTGCTCCTACCCACCCATGGGGAGCTGCATGTAAAGTAAGTCCATTAAAAATATAAAGTAACAGCTACATTTTGACTGATCTCAAAACAATAAAAAAAAGATGTGCAAATTGTTTAACTCACATATTTATTTAGGAAATTATTAAATTGTGTGTGAATGTTCTAAAGATTAATCAAAAATAATAAAAAAATACTTTAATATTTTAAGTTATATCCTAATTTTCAAATCCATATAAATAAATGTGGCAGTCTTAAAACATTTAGACGAAAGCTAATTTAACATGTTTACTATAGCAATGTAAAGAGACGTCCCATCACTCAGCTGTCTCTCCTCTTCTGATCTTTATTAGTTTATTTTTCATTTGTGGAACTGCTTAGATAAGACAGCAGGAAAAAAAGGAAGTCCACACACAATAGCAGGAAAAGATCACGCTTTCAAAGGGCAAAGGTCACAAGCAGCTGGGGGTGGGGGTGGGGGTGTTTCTGCAACTAAGTCAAAATTCTGATGGAATTTATGGTGTAAGATGTTTTCAAAGCAAATTGATCAGATGAAAGAACACATTTAGTGATAACATCAGTTTATTAAAACCTCTACATTTAGAACTCACTACTTAACAGTATAAAACATAAATATTATAAATAGCTGTACTGCAGTCATAAATATGAGGTAAAGGAATATTCCACCCCTGAGTAAAATTTAGTCTGTTGCCATATTCCCCAGAGTCAGATAAGTGGGGAAAATTATTTTTATGTTAGCTTTAGCATAAACAATGAAAGTGAACAGTAACAGCTCATGTGTCATGTGCTTTCACCGGTGGCTTACAGCAATGCTTTGTTGTAATGTAGTCCCATTTCTGAATCGTCTCCTGTAATTCTTTGTGTTTCTTATTATTTTCATTTGTGATAAATATGATAATTGTGGTCAAGAAAAATTAGATCATTATTGAGTAATTTCCACTAATTTCTGCATGAAATACTAGCTGGTACCATTCAGTTACATTGTTTATGCTAAGCTAAAGCTAATGGGATACTGCCAGATTAGGAGATTGACTGGGCTGGTTATAAAGTGCTTTTCTCCACTTATCTAGCTCTGGGGAATATGGCCATAGACCAAATTTAACTCAAGTGTTGGAATGTCCCTTTAAGACAAAAGTATTAGAAATCTGTTGATGGGCATTTAAACATCAACATTCCACAGCACAACTGGCTTCAAAACATCAAATCAACAATCAGTAAGAACAGAAGTTAAATGGAGTTTTATGAATTAACAAAAAAAAAGAAGCAAATTTTTACAATAAATCAAAGTAGAAAAAAGGACAGTCTTCCTTATCAGTATTTTCTCTGAAAATACAAAATAAAAGGTCAGAACCACAAATGTGTAAAACAGCATAATCGCCACAATAAAACATTTTGTTCACAGGAACGGAGGAGCAGTACCTCCTCACCTCCACATTTAAACCTCTATGTAAGACAGATTCATACATCTAGAATGACTTCCAACACAAAGCTGCCTTATTTATTTGATTTGTGGACAGGCACATGAGGAAATTGCAGGTTTCTAAATTCCTTTAGCTAGTTTGTAAAAGTGCAACTTAACATTTGTTTGAAATTAGAAGCATAAATACAGACACAGACCCGACCAGACCCATCTCAACGGACCACCAACCAAATGATGCTACAACGTTAGCCTCTGAATCAAGCCTCTTACAGGTTCTTACTTGTAAAATATTTGGTTAAAGAAGCCACATATGTCAAAATGGATTTATAAAAGCAATAAAAGGGTAAAAAGGACTGAACATGTACTGTATTAACAGTAAAAAGGAAGTCCCTCAGTTGTCCACAGGGCGCAGCGGTTCTTTAGAGTGGTCATTGTACATGAAGGTCTGCTCGATGTTGAAGTCTGGTGGCAGATGTTCTTTGTGAAGCTCCATGTGTGATGACACCAGCTTCAGCGTGGAGAAGTAAAAGCCGCACACGGTGCAGCGGTACATGAGCGCACCGGCGTGTGTCTTCAGGTGACAGATCATAGTGGAGCGACCTCTGAAGAAGCGCAGACACACTTTGCACTGGTAGGGTTTCTCACCAGTGTGGATACGGAGGTGATAGGTGAACTCTCCTGAGTGGGCGAAACGTTTGCCGCAGTAGCGACACCGATACCACTTCTCACGTACCACTGTGGCTCCAGCTGCACCTTCCAGTCCCGAGCAGCCATTTGTCAGGACCCCAGAAGCCATGCTGGACACCGGTCCCTGAAAGATCTTCTCTGGCACACTGAAGACCATCCCAAGACCCAAACCCAGGTTGCTTATCTTAGAAAGTCCACCTGTGTCCCTTGGGGAGGTGGAAGAGGAGCAGGATGATAAAGGACACTCCTGACTCTGATCAGCTTTTCGTTTGCCTGACCAAGTATGGGCCCCTATGCCTCCTCCACCCCCCAGGGGTTCTGTGGTGTGCTGACTGAGGTGAAACTGAAAAGCCGAGGAGGAGCGGAAGGTCTGTGGACACAGAAAGCAACGCATCTCCTCTGCTCCTGCAGTAGCTCCTCCCTCACCACTGTCTGACCCCTCTTTGTTGGCTCTCAGCTCCAACCGCTCCCTCTCCTCAGCCGTTGCCTCCTCAGCATGACCCACCATATGTCTGTCCAGCAGAGGTTGCTCTACAAAGCAGCAGGCGCAGTGAGGGCAGGTGAAGACGGGCAGAGAGAGATGGGTGAGAGTGTGCCATAGAAGGGAGCACAAGGAGTTGTGGGGAAGGTGGCACACCCCACAGGTGAGATTCTGGGAACACACATGGCTCAGCAGGTGGTCTCTGACAGTCTGCCAGGGACAAAAGAGACAAAACAAACAGGAGAGGTAAGTCCATTTCACACTCAGATACATGTTGGTTTGTGACAGTGTTGTTAACTGTTTCAGACTACAGCCACAGAGATAACCAGCTGATATAAGGACCAATTCAATCAAACACTTTGTGCGTCTTCCTGCCACCAATCAAGGCAGCCCAATCAGAATCAACTTTAATGGCCCAGGGTCCTGAAGCATAGAAAAATATGTATCTGAGGTACAGCCTGTCCCATCCCCTGGGGGAGCGGTGAGCTGCAGACACAGCCGCGCCCGGGAACCATTTGGTGGCTTAACTCCCCAATCCAACCCCTTAATGCTGAGTGTCAAGCAGGGAGGCATTGGGTCCCCTTTTTTTCAAAGTCTTTGGTATGACCCGACCAGGAATCGAACCCCGATCTCCCAGTCTCAGGGCGGACACTCTACCACTAGGCCACTGAGCTGGTCCCAGTAGTATCCCAGTCTGAGCAGTTTCCACACGGCTAAGACTTTCCATGGGCACTAGTTGCACTCCAATCTCCCCCGACTCCCCAATTTTCCCACTGATTTCTGTATATTTCTGATAAATCACATAAAACTTGACAATGACTCATTTATTGTAGGATTTCAGCTTCCAATTGGTGTTTTGGAATGGCATTTCCTCTCTCTGCTCTCTAGACGCTCCAGGGTTGAATTTTAAATTATTGCTGCTGTTATCTTTGTCTTACATGACGACTAACCCTTCTGGGCTTACAATTAGCTGAATCAGATCATGCCATTTAAATGAAATTCCTGCCTACACTTGGCTTGAATAGGAACTTGTTCTGATATGAATTGCCTTTTTTACTACATTATTTTGAGCTGACTTGTTCACCGATTTTATATAAATGATCTTAGATGGAACTCACTCTTCTACCTCGCTAGGGTAGAAGGAAGCTGGTGACTAACTCCTGCAGTCATCAGTTTAGAGGCAGTGGACACCCTCCAGTTCATCAGAGAGACTAACAACCACTCACAACTAAGGACATTTTAGAGTTTCCAATTAACACAACATGCATGTTTTTTTTATTTCTAATGATCATTAATATGGTTAATTTCAGTGTATTTTAATACAACACTGTGAAAAAGTTTTAGGCAGGTGTGAAAAAAGGCTTTTAACAAAGAACGTGTTAAAAAATTGACGCGTTAATTTATTTTCACTACTCAACAAAAAGCAGTGAATGAACAAAAGAGACATCTAAATCAAACCAATATTTAGTGTGAGCACTTCTGCCTCCAAAACAGCATCAGTTCTTCTAGCTACATTTGCACACAGGTGTTGAAGGAACTGGGCTGGTAGGTTGTTCCAAACATCTTGGAGAACTAACTACATGTCTTCTGTGAATGTAGGCTTCCTCACATCTTTCTGTGCTTCACGTAATCCCAGAAATACAACATGATGATGAGATTAGGGCTCTGTGGGGCCCAGATCATCACCTCCAGGACTTCTAGTTCTTTACACTGAAGATGGTTGTTAATTACTATGGCTGGATGTTTTGAGTTACTCACCTTACATTTTGTAAATTGATAAAAATAAACAAGCATTCTTTGTTTACAGGCCTTTTTTTAATGCCTGAAACATTTGCATGGTACTGTACACAGTGGGGTGCGAAGGTTTGGGCAACCTAGTTATTCTATTTGTTGGTTGCAAGCCCCCATAATTCGGGTCTGGAAATGAAGCCAACCCGGAAGTGAAAAAAAATTGCAGTTCCACCCTCATCCGCTGGGGGCTGGTGTCAGAAACGAGCAAATCCTCATTGACTCCCATGTTAAAAATACCAATTTCACAGCAGAAATAAACATGTTTACACTCATGACAACTCTGAGGGGGTGAATGTTTTTGTCACTCTTCTGTTTAAGTGTATTAAATGCCTAAAATTCAGAATAATTAATGAGCATCAGACCCACGTGACCGCAGCGCTAGCTCCGGGGAAAGGCCTCAGACTCAGCCTCGCCTTAAAACTGTTCCATGATTTTCAGTTTCTCAACTTAGACCAGTAGTTGTAGCGTTTGTGTATTCTTTTTGGATATTATTTGAGCAATTGTTGGACAAAATGACTTGCTGTGGCATCAATTGCACTAATAGAGCATCCAAGGAGTCTCCACTTCATTTTTTCGGTAAGTAAAATTATATTTATGTATTTTAGGTCACTGCTGCTCTTGCACTAGCTGAGCTTAGATTTTAACATGTACTGTTTAACCATGAAATTTAAATGTAATAGGGTAAAACCCAGTGAATTTAACATAATGCTGCACTTTAGAAAATGGGTTGAAATAAAACATGTTGGTGGAGCTGGGTTCTGACTATCGGTATGGACTCCCTCCCCTCAGCGGCAGCTCGGCCCATCTCTGACCGCAGCGGCGCCTGTCTGCTGCCGGCTTGTGGAGCTCTCGGAGACCTCTGTGTTCCACCCGGTTCTCTCCAGCGCTCAGCCCAGCGTATCTGTGACTCAGAAGCTCCGGTGTTGTGCACAGTTAACTCCGGTTGTAGCTAGGCAGCTACCTCCATTAGCTTATCTTCCATCTCTGCGTTAGCTTTGGGTTAGCTTCTAGCTACATTGCTTCAGTTCGACGGGTGTCGTCATTTGATCCCAGCCTTACAGCCCCACCCTCAGCTCCACCTCTTTTCCCTTTTGTGGAATTGTCTGGGCTTGATGGAACCTGTGACACGGTCAAAAGGGCGGTGGTGGCTACCTCCCATTTTTGCACAAAAACTTATTATCGGAGCCTATGGAAACAAATTGTCCAGTATATACGTCGATGGTTGGTTGTTACAATAAATATTTTCAGTGAAATATATCATATAGGACAGTGGTTCTCAATCCTGGTCCTGCAGGGCCGGTATCCAGCATGTGTTAGTTGTTTCCCTGCTTCAACACACCTGATTTTAATCAACAGATGATTAACAAGCTTCTGCAGAGCTTGGTGAGCTGCTGAACAGGTGAGGCAACCACTGAATCAGGTGTGTTGGAGCAGAGAAACAACTAAAAGATGCTGCTGGATTTGTAATGAGTTGAAATGCTACATAACTAACTGCAACTACAGTTTTGAGGCATTAGATCCTCTTTATTTCTGGTGATATGCAACAAATCCCTGCTGGTGGGCATTCAGACAAAGGAACACTTTGCACTTCTGACACTTCCACTTTGACACTCCCTTTGAACCGGCCCAGTTTGTCACAGTGAAGCTTTGATACCGCACATCTGGTTGTGGCTGTGATGGTCTTTGGGTGTAACATTTTATCAACATTTGTGGTGAAGAGGACGATGGTCGACTACCCTTTGGTGCTAGCTCTATCTGCAACAAACAGCGAGCGACTGCCAGACAAAACATTTTGACAGAAAAGTGGCTTCTCATTCAGCTTTTTTTGAATTTTCAGATAAAGTTTTTATCACAACCTATGTTCTATGGAACCTGCTACTGGTCTAGAATAAATGCTTAGGGAGTGGAAAGTTTGGATGGAATTGCCCTTTCCAAAAAGGAAACCAGAAATGCGAACCAACATCAACTTCGTCATGAAAAGTAGCAACGCCAGAAGATTTTGAATGTCATCAGGGCTAGAGTTGACTGGATCCCGGAGGTTCTGTGCATAGTAACGGTTAGTGTGCTGAGCAATGTGTTCAATCATCTTTTCTGTAAAAAGTATCTTGAAATACTGCAATGGTGTCTTCACAAAACCAGGAGCGTCAAATACAGAACCAGTAACAGCAAATTCATCAATATCTTCATATTTCCAGATTCTGAAAGTGGCCTGTTTTGGGTCTGGAGATGAGCTTTGCTCAGTCGTGTCTGCGGGTTCTATTACAGAAATTTCCTTCAGAGCAGTTTTTTTTCCCTTTTTGTTGCTTCTTAGGTGGTTTAGAAGAGAAGATTGTGGTTGGAGTTTCCTCCTTACCCATGGATTCAAAAGAATTTCTGTCCACCTCTTGTGTAGAAGGACAGTCAGGTTGGTCATCATCACTCAGACCAGCATCAAAATCTTAAAGTTGTTCTGGAATCAGAGCCTGAGAATTGTTTGTCCTTGCACCATAAAGGTTTTCATGCTCCTCTAGTATTTGTTGATCAAAAACAAGAAAAATTCAAACAAAAATAACTGTGACATCAATTAAGTGGTCGCGATAAGCCAATAAGGAATAATACCAGTAAAAAGTATAAATTAATCAATAATCATACTTCACAGTAAATTCATTTTCAGCTATATTGTGTCAACGCCATGATTATAAATGGACAAACCAACATTTTGGTGACGTGTTTTTATGACCTTACTCGACCGTGAAAGCATTTGTTTTTGATTCCATTATTACTGACGTTGTAAGGGTTTTTCTACCTTTGAATTTTTTTGCACAAAAAGCTATTTTTAGCACGTTTATGCCATTGCTAACTTCCTGTAAACAATCTTCTTAAACGGGTAAGTGATGCTACAACACCATCTAGTGGACGTTTTGGCATTACAAGTGTTAAACACTCAATAAGGTAGGCCCACCTCAGTTCATCCCGCAGATGTAAAGACTCAAATGAACTCTACCAATTTTTTGAACAGAGCATTATTAACATTACAGTGTGTATTTGCCCTGGA